TCTTGTCACTGGAGACACATTGACCAGGTTGAGTTCAAAACCAGAGGTCAGTCTGTTAACGGCACTCCTACTGCTTCAAATACTAATGAATTCTTTGTAGGTGATCTTATGGTATCTGAACAAAACGTTGTATCCGAAGAACGCAATACATGTGAAGAACCTGAAGTTTTCATTCCGAGAAGATCTGAAAGATTGTGGTTAAGACCACCATCCACATGCTCATTCAGGGTGTGCGGGTGTGATGAAAATGACTGATACTCTGTTCATTGCTCTACTCATTATTCTCTTGTTTTAGTAATCCATATGCTGTACATATATACGCCGATTCGAATACATGCGTGCTACTTGTTGCGCTGGCCTGAATTCCGGATTTCTAGTTCATCTGATTATTCCGATATACGTACGAAACTTAATTCTCACATGAACTCAGGAGACGGAGATGTAAGCATCCCTGAAAGGAGGCAACTTTGTACTATACAATAATTTAGAAGAAACAACTTCCACCGACAGACACTCCTATAGACTGTTGCAGTAGAAAACTGTTTTGAGGTCGGAAAAACGACAAGTTTGGGGCATTGAAGGGAATGGTTCAGTTCCAGCACTTGTCATAAGGTGAAGGCATGTGTTAGGCGGAATCCTGCACGAAAACCGATTTACCGCTCGTAGTCCAGGTTAATTACCGCCGAGGGGCCTGTGCGTCACGCGATTGGCCAGAACGTCGGCCTGGGGAGCTCTGGTTCGTCCGTATGGAATCGTGATTCAACAACGACCAGTTGCCCATGCGACTGGAAGAAGACGTCTCGTTTGTTCACGGAATCACGCATTATTACACATGATCGAGGCTTTTGTCCAAGTTTTCCGGGTCGGTTTTATTCTTGTTGCTCAGCGGCTGTCGTTCATCTGGAAGCCACAAGTGAAAAAGGGTAAAGCACTATCCTTTAAGTTCTCAGCGAGGGGTAGTAGGCTTGACACCGCGAGGATTCGCATAAATGTCTTGTAGTGAGTTGAATTGGGTTCTAAAAGGGGCATGGAAAACCTTCGGAGGAAGGTAGTTCCACGCAGCTACCACCCGAAATGAAAAAATATTTGTCCAGAGATTGAATATTTTCTTACAATGTCGCCGCCGAGTGTTTTCTGGGTCAAGTGGAGAAAACCTATTGTCTAGGCTTTCTTCAGACAGGGCATAGTTAAGAAATAGATCTCTTCGGAGCCGACGATACCCCCACGGGAAAGAACCCCATAGAGTATTTGGAAGTCCATGCGAGCAATGCGGGAGAAGGTTCACCGAATAATCCGTAGAACGGCGAAAGCCCATTCGGCCTGTGCCCCACGGGGCAGTGTGAAGGACATGTTTGAAGACAGCTAGACAGCTAAATCCTTTCCGGCATCTATCCTCATGATGTCTTTCGGCTCCTTCTCGCCATGCATTGTAAAGGCGTTCGATGAGTCTCCTCCGAATGACAGATGGACACACGTTTCGTCATTCAGAGAAAGGTGCCAGTTCAAATACCACTGTGTTGCAGCGTCTACATCCACTTAGAGGGCACTGGCATTTGAACTCCGGGATTTTCAAGTCGTCGCGAAAAGTAGACATGGACTTGCAGGAATATCTGAAAGGTCGTTGACGTATATCAGAAACAGTAGTGGAGAACTCTGATGGGGGCCAGCGCCGGAGAAGAGTAGATCGAGTTCAGTTTACCATGGCATGATTTCCCTGATGGGAACGTCTTGATCCAGTGAAGGATTTTCCCTTGAATCCCGTAAAGTTTGAGCTTGTGGAGCAGTGGGACGTGTGGAACTCGATAAAATGTCTCTATAAATTTGAAAAATTTGGCATCCGATATGAGTTTTTCGTCATTGGCCTAGGTCCTTGCGCACGAGCATGTTTGTCACGCAAGAACAATTTGGGAGAAATCCGTGTTTAGCTAGGGACATCAAGTTTTTGGAAGTAAGGTGCTCTGGGATAGCTTGATTCAGAATGCGTTCCATGAGCTCGCACTGCAGGCCAGTGAGGCCATCGCAGCCAGGCGATGGTCGATCAACAGCTTTGTAGTTTGTCGCTTCCTTCCAAGCAGGGGGAATTTGGAGTTCGTCACGCGACCGACGAAACACAATGTAAGGATGATTTCCAGTGTAAACGACGTGTTCTTCTGAATCTTTGGATCGACCAACGTGCCGAATGGGCTGATCTTGCGCAAGGGTTGACGAATGTCCTCCACCGTGAAGACCAAGTCGATTAGACGGTGTGAGTAGTTAGCGCCGCCGAAAATGGCTATTTTCGGCGGCGCTACCTCATGTATTTGAACAGCACGTTTCTGTCTTTTCGCCCCAGGTCCAGCATGTAGCTGGATCATTGTCCCATTGGCAATTGTTTGATTTACAGAGTTTAAGAATTTCACGAAATGCCAGCTCAACTTCTATCTCCGGCAGTCAACTTTTTGATAAAGAGTTGAGACCTCCTTTCCAGAATAAGCGGCTCATGTAAATATATGCTGTTTTTTGGGACGAACATCGCATCAGCTTCGTTAACTTCTGAACAACTTCCCCATACAAGTCTTCCACCGGAGCTGTACCCAGTCTGACTTGTTCAAGTAAGATGCTCATTCTTGAAAAATCTGCAAGGCAGACGCTTAGAATCCATGCTTGAGGCTCGAGATTTCTTCCCCAACAGTGGATGAAGTCAAAGATCGGCAGTGATCATCATGCCCCAGTGGAGCGTTAGTTATCACCTGAATGACGAATAGTCTTTCGTCAGCGATGACCAAATTTCAGGAGGGATCGTAGTTGTCCTGCGTGGTATCCGGTGGGTACAAGGACATGTTGGGTCCAAGTTCTCTGTTGAACGTTTTTAACCAGCGACGCTGCAAAAAGTCCACTTGATCCGACGCGCAGGTGCCCCATCCAATGCTTTTGGGAGAATATTCCATTCCGGCTGCGCGCTTTAGTGATATACAGGGGGTCAACACTCCTGGAAACGATGAGTATTTATCGGATGTTCAAAATCATTAAGCAGGCAACACCCCGCGAAGGCCTGTTTGAAGCCCTGAAATCAAACTCGGATTACAGCTGTCAGCTGTACTAACCTGTGGTAGCAAATACGTGGACTGCTTCCATTCGGGCAAAAAGGAGGCCGCGTTGAATTGTTTGCCTACAAATGTCATCAAAGATTTTTGAAACAAATTTTGCGAGTCTCAACAACCTGGCTGCTTTTTTTGTGCCATTATTTTTTGCTCGAAGTAATGTCAGGTGAATGACACTAATAATAAACAGTTATGTATGGTGGCTATCGAAGATTAGTACAACTGAATAACACACAGAAAGGAAAAGGATTTTGCGAGTTATTCGGAAGATAAGTTGTAGTGGATTACGTTGAATAAGGGCCATGGGCGAGCGTGTTGTGGGTGTGCTACCCACAAGTTGGGAATAAAACTTATTATTATTAATAATATTATTATTATTGTCGTTTTATCCAAACGATATCGAGTCTGGACTTTTTCCGCATGGGGATTAGCGCGGTTTGGATGGACTCTGGTCAAGGCGCTGTGTGAATTGACGAGCGTCGGCATCCAACTGTCGTCGTTCCACACATATATATAAGTTTGCGTTGTGTGTGAGGATGCGCTCGCATTGTTTTCCCCGTGATGAGGTTCCAATAATTTCGGATGGTCGCGAGGCGAGTGTCTGCGACATAAACGAAACAGGAGTGGGTGTGCATTTGTTAAACAAAATATGTGAGTCGTTGGTGGCGAACGTCGATGGGGTAGTAGCCCAACCCCGTGGAAACGGTTGAATATAAATATTGAAGGGATGGCAACCAAACTCTGGTAAAGCGGTTGAAGATAAACGTTTACGGAATGGTGACCCACACTGTGAAGAAGCGTCCGTAGTTGTAATTACAGAAATCTGGCCAATAACAGATGCAGCGATTTTGGTATAAGCCTAAAACGTTCTGCACGCGGGTAGTGTTGCTTCTACTTACATGCTGTTCTGTCTATCTCGACTGCTCTCTCTGACTTTATCCTACTTGGTTTCGTGATGCCATTTGGATTCATATCTCGCTTCATGAAACCGATTCACTTTTCCAAGTAGTCTACCGTTACCACTCAATTTCACCGGAAGAATACCAGCATTCATATAAACCCCTGGGAAACTCTTCTTTGTCTATTGCTGGCTAGCGATTTTACCGCCTACAAGGCCTCCTGGACGGAATTCCAGTGCTTTAAGTCTAGCTGACGTTCTGCATCATCACTGCGAAAGAGTCGTTCAAAAAGCGTTTTGCCTCACAAAACATCTTGTCATATGTCGTCATGCCCATCAGATACCATGCTCGTCAAAGACCATCTCCGTCAGATTTGGTTATCAGCAACGAAAGGCACTTTTTTTACCTAGTGTTGGTCAGGGCCCTACTGAGACATAACGACGAGCGTGTGGTGACCCTCAATTTCATCTTCCACTGGATTGGAAGTCTCGAACGTCAAACATGGATTCGATGCCTTTGCCACACAAACTTCTCGGAAATCTATACCTGCCTTGACGAAGTTGTACCAGTAGTAGCCTCCAATCGGAATACGTATAGAACTGTTGACCGAAAATTTACCAAGTTGATGCAGTGTTCGACACAAAGAAACCAGCGCGAATTGGAGCAGACCGAAGGTCATTCAAAAGCGTTCGCCAACTTCAAAATTAGAGGTTCTAGCTGTTCTTCCTTAAGATAACTACTGAAGACCCAGATGTGCCAGCGTTTCATAAAATGCGGACTGCTGTCATGCAGAAATCCACGAACGGAGCATGCTAGAGCGGGCTACAATAGCAAACTACGCCCGGAGGAACAAACCTGTACGGTTTAAGTACAAGAGACTCAGTCAACCGCAATGTGTTCGGGGGGAGATGTGAAAAAAATACGATTGGCACAACCATGGTATCCGAAACATAAGTGGAAAACTATAAAGGCCTGTATTCGGCTAGGGCGACCCTATCACATCCAATATTGGCGAGGCGAGACTACGAAAGGCCTCTAACCAACTGGGTCTTCGGGAGGGGGAGTTGTCCAACTCTCGCAAAAGACAAATCCCTTTGGCAAGTTGGGGCAAAACGAAGTCCATCCAAGCGTTCTGAAGGAAACGTTGCTCACACTGGCAAAGCATTTTACCCGATGTTTCATCATTCGTTCGAAAAGATGGACTTCCCTCCGTTTGGAACAAAGCGAATGTCGTGCCGCTTTTCAAAACTGATGACCAACTGCCCCCTAACGTATTTCTCGGTGCCCTAACTTTTACCCCGGTTCATCTTCGCCTCCTTGGGGACCTGATTCCTGCTCATTCTCTGTCTGAACAAACAACATTTGGCAGCGCCAAGAAGGTAGCAAGCAGTTTTACCCCGGTTTCTGTCATGCACCTTTCAGGTGTACAGGAGCTGATGAAGGGTAAAAACAAACAAAACACCAGAAGCTTAAGAAGAATCCTCGATCCTGTGAGACAAACCATGAATGTATGAATCCGTGACGGACTTCTGATTGAAGAATGGAACTAACAAGATGAATAAAAACCACCAAATCACACACAGTTACCGCGTGACTGGCCTGATTACAGCAAATTTGTTGATTCAACAGACCCGCTCTTTTGCTTCCTTATTTTCCGCAATTTGCAGTTCCCTTAACACTTGCGATGCATGATGCATGATTTCGATCCTCATGGTTTTCTTTTGGCCTGTCACTTTTAAATCCTGATTCTTTGATCTTGCTTAAACTGGATATGTCCCGCAGAAAAAAGGAAAAGCCCTTGTGATTGTGGTACCTTTCTCTCACAACTGGAGCCCTGGGGAATAGGGTGAAGGCTTTGCAAAATGACTTGTTCCATGGATATCACGCCGCGTTCATTTTGACCTTCTGTTTGCTATTAAATGAAGCGGCACCTTCCTTTACCATGTTTAATGCTTTCGACTTGAGTGATGCTTTTCAGGGATACGTGATACAGACGAGTCAAGCCTAAATCAGCTACAGAGGCTCTCAAAAAATGCTGTTTTTTATTCAATTCTCCGTTAACATTGCCGAATTTATTGCTAGTTTAAATAACTATCCAGTCGTTTGAGTAAGTGAGTTGTTGAAATCGCCATGGCTGAGTTTTTACTATTTGGGGATGAGGGGAGCGAACGTAGGTGAATAAAGTAGGGCTAACTGAGAGTGTGCCTAAAGCCAAAGTGTGCGTAGCACCGTGGGTAATGAATAAAGGGAACAGAATGTCTGACGCCGCCACAGGCGGTTACTATTCCGAACAAGGAATCGAGAGGACGGGATGCAGTTCAAAGCCGAGTTTCCAGCCGTGCCGTCAGTAGCACCCTCAGAGCCAGGGGATGTAGGAGGAGAGGACTTAGTGCAGAAGGATTTGGCAGGTGCTTGGGGATGCTTACCGAATTAAATGCCTAGCCAGGTGGAACAGGTAAAGATGGGCGGGAAAACACATTGAGCAAGTAGGCGATTGAGACCAGTTCGTTGACAGCTTGGCAACGTATTTCTCGGTGCCCTAACTTTTACACCGGACAAAGTGTGAATGAGGAGAATGACCACCGCCATTCATTAGAAGGGAAAGTACGATTGTGGCGTTGCTCGGTTTTTGAGAGTTGATTATTAAAGGTGACAGCTCTTACTGGTACTTTTTGTGCAAGCGTTTGAATGCCATTCGAAAGACAAACTGGTTCCAGCCATCTCTATTGGCGATCTGCTCACGTACAATATGCCGGTGTTTATTGAAGCCTGTAGAATTGAAAGGCCGCAAGTGCATGGCAATTTTTGAAAGCCGTGTCACACAAGGCAGCTTAAAATACCGTTGCCAGTAGGTTCGTTGAAGGTTACGTACGCATAGCATAAGCCAACACGCTTAAGTCTGCGAGCTATCTTTGTCTACGTAAAATGCGAATGTGGCAGTCTGTTCTGAAGTGCCCTAGAGCCGCGGGGCCGTACGATCCACAGTTAACTTCTCTGACGCTGCAGGTTGTGTGAATTCGCGATTAACGAAGGTTCGGATGAATGGTGAGCGTAGTGCTCAATAGGTGCAGCAGGCTTGTAGCATATGGTGCATACGGTGACACGTATTTGAGCTCTGCTCTCTTGAATATAACACAATCCTTTTGAAAAATGAGTGATAAACTTACGTGTTTTGCTCAATCAGAGGCCTAAATCGAAGACCTTAGGCTCGGGTTAGGGTAGAGTCTGTTGTGAAAGCCAAACTAGTACTATCACTTCAATCATTTTTCAGCGTTCTTTGCTTGATTAAAGTGGCGGCTGATTTAAAAACCTGAACCTCTTGCCGTGGAGAGCGTCATGTGTGGGCAGGCTTATAAAACTGGGCGATCTCTGTTTGTCGGCATATTTGTGTTCCTTGCTGAAAAGAAGACTCCAGAGTTTAGTGATATTCAGTTTGGACCCAGATATAAAGCGCATTTGACAAAAGAAGTCCATTTTTAGTGATGATAACGAGGTTATTTTGTACAAAAGAATAAAAATCAGTGTCATGAAAGTTTTAAAACTTCGGGCCGATTATTGGCTTCCAGTTTCCCNAAAGAATAAAAATCAGAGTCATGAAAGTTTTAAAACTTTGGGTCGATTATTGGCTTCCAGTTCCCCAGCGAAGGAATTTCAAATACCTTTTAAATTATAGGTAGAATAATGATCGGTAGGCGGCCTTAAAATGCTGACACGACGGGTACCTCGAAAACGAAAGGTAGCGTTTCGTGATTTGCGGAATCCATTAGATTTTACTGGAAAGTAGAAGCCAGCCAATTTTATCTTAATGGCTGTGTAGTTTGCATGCGATTGCCTCTTTGAGAAAACAAGGAGGAATTACGGCTCTAACATGGTACGGGCAATCAAGCCGCCTGCCAAATTAATGGCCAAAGAACTGGGATAGCTAAGGGGTGTGATAGAAAGACATTAGCTAAATCCTTCGGGTGAGGGACCGTTAACCTATTTTTGGAAGGATTTAAAGGGTATGATAATCAATTTTTGAAAGTCTAACATTGTGTTCACAGAGCCGGTCTATTTTGTAATTGCTCATCTGAACACATTCCTCCTTAAATGATTAGGACTTACCATATCTGCCAACAGAACAGCATGTCAAACTTTTCATTTTGTGCACCGTCGTTTTCGGCAAAATTCGGAAAGCATCCAAGGCTCTTTAACACTTCCGACAGCTGCTTTTACTGGCGAATAACCAACATTATGCTCGCCATGCCTCGTATGTATAAAACGATCGCAGGAGTCATCAACTCAGTCAAATCATTTTTCGCTTGCGAAAAGTGCCAGAGAGCTAGGCATATGCAACGTATCACTGTATCTAAGAAACTTGGACTCTAATTATGGCAGAAAGTTGGAAATGTGGGAGGACCTGCAATAGATGTAACCATAAGATCACCCCTTCCCAGGGAGACCACATTCCTGTCTGCGGTTACCAAATGCTCATTAACAGGCCGTCAGTAACCGACTGCTTGGATTGAACGTTTGACCGTTCCTGCCGGATTGTTCGTTTAAGCGAAAAAAGCTAGCGTGCGCAGTTGAGTCCAATTAGGGATTTGATCCTGTAGAAACCAGTCCCCCATATTCATTTCCCCATTTGTAATACAAGCTGCCTTATAGAAGGCTCAGAAAGTAAGTCGAGTTTCTCAAAGTGGGAGATTCGAAGGCGTTTGCCTAGAATAACGCAGTTTTGCAAAAGAGAGTATTTTGCTGTTGAATTCGCAGTTTACAGTCGAAAAGCTGGGCAGTTATCTAATTCGGGGGAAGAAACCTGGGCAAAAGCTCTCCAGGCTTGATTGATCAGAGCGTGCTCGAGATTTAGGGGGGACCGTTCTCCGCTTCGCTGGATTTGTTCCCACCTAATGACCTTACGTAATGCAGTGAGGCCAAGCTTTATCAGTTTCGTTGCGCGCCAATATATCGATTGTGATTATTTACTGAAACAGAACCCTGTGGCACGCATTTAATACGTATGGGAATTTGTTAGAACCATACAAAACAATGTGCTGGTTAAATAACACTAGTATGTTAAGAGGTTAAAAGAGAGCATTAAATTGACTGATCCGGAAACGTGCTTCTGTGATTGTGAGAAGAGGTGAATATGTTACCGGTTAGGTTGGCTATGGACTTTGCTGGCAATCAGTATCCATAAAGGTCTTTTGTCTTAGAGCTTTCAGCCTCATTCAAAAGAACATCTGGGGATAGTGGTCTTTTTCAGCTAAGGATACTTCATAAACTAATACCGGTCCTAACATCAATAAATTGAGATGTTTAGTTATGCCGTCAAAGTTTCCCAATAACCTGCCAAAAAGCAGTAGTTCTTTCATATTTCGCATCATGCAGTTTTAACCTGAGGAGACAGCTTTGTGATATAGAGTCGAAAGAAAGCGCCCAGCCACTTTGGATCCGCTGTACTCTGGTGGTTCAGTTTTCATCCGATACACAAAAGCGGCGCAGACCTGGCTTATGCTTTACATAGACACATCGGTGCGGATGATTATTCTTGGTCGCGCATGATATAGTTCCACGGTATTGCTATGACGAACAAATCGCCGAATACCAATCATGGATTTTTTAGAAGAGCACGCTTCGATTCCATGCGTATACAGAAGCCAGAAAAATGTTGAGCGCTCGTCAGAATTCCAGGTCAAAAAAGAATCCAATCAACAAAAAATGGGATAGCATATAAACAGGCTGATTATAAGAAACAAAAAAAGTAAGATCATCGGAAGGTATGGGATTTTGCAGATAAAACCGTGAGAATTGGGTTTCGTACATATATTGGTACAAGACCAACCAGAAATCCTGAATTCAGCGAAGCGTAACGACCAGCACGTATGTATTCGAATTGGCAAAAATGTACAGCCTATGGAATATTAAAACACGGGAATAATGAATAGAGCAATGAACAGAGTATCAGTCATGTTCATCACATCCGCCACACCTTGAATGAGCATGTGGATGTGACCACAATCTTTCGGAGTTTCTCGCAATGGAAACTTCAGATTCTTCACATGTAGTGCGTCCTTCGGATACAACGTTTTGTTCAGATACCATAAGATCATCTACAAAGGATTGATTAGTATTTGAAACAGCAGGAGTGCCGTTAGCAGACTGACCTCTGGTTTTGAACTCAACCTGGTCAATGTGTCTCCGGTGACAAGAGAGATCATCCAAATCGAGAATTGTGACCATCCGTTTGCCATTTGATGAAAGTACTATTCCTGTAGCAGGTCGCAAATCATTACCCTTGAAAAATGCACCATCAGCCGTTTTGGCACAGTCAAGTCTTGTACGCAACGAACGAGATTTAAATAGAAGCGCGGGACTCTTCCCAGTAACGGAATGAACGGCGTTCAGATATTAGCCGAATAGTTTGAAATTTCTGATCCGGACAGCGTAGCAGCTTCTGCTTTATTCCGACGGCTGATTTCCAGCAATGAGTTTATCACGCAGCTGGTCTTCCAATTGGGCACCGTAGTCACATTTGTTTGTCTGTGTCTGCAGCTGTAACACGAAATCACGAACCGAATTAGAATGGAAGCGGGTCAACATATTGAACCTAGCTCTTTCGGCTGTTACAACGTTAATCGGCTTGAAGTTTTGAAGAACTATTTTCTTCAGTGCGGTGTGATAAATATCGATTGGAGATTCAGGATATACTAAATTTTTGATCAAAGTATACGCCTCATCGCCAACGAAATGTAGGAAATATGCAGTGAGTTTCTTATCATTCATATCGGATTTTGTAGGATACCATATGTCGAATCGTTCCAAATAATCCTGTACGTGGCGCGCAGTTGAATTAAAATCTAATGGTTCCATTTCTGCAGGTATGATGAATCGTTCCAATCGCGACGCCGAAATGTGAGAATTGAGTTTCGCACATATATCTCCATAACCAGACGAACTAGAAATCCAGAATTCAGCGAAGCATAACGACCAGCACGTATGTATTCGAATTGGCGAATATGTACTGCATATGGAATATTGAAACAAGAGAATAATGAATGGAGCAACAAACAGAGTATCAGTCATGTTCATCACAAACACTTTACGAGGAACCAGCCTCTCTTAGCTTTGCTCTTCTCTGATTTTCGTTGATGGTCTTTTGTTTAATTGAGCAAACCTTCAAGGTCACCGACCACCATCGGTTCACATGTGATTACCAGTTGTCGCGCATTTGAAACTCGTCATGCTTTTCATGCGCAAGCAGCATTCTGATTGGTTGGTTGTGCACAAGCCAGTGAGCGCGTTCGTTTAAACTGCATTCATGCACAAGCCAAAAACAAACGGGTTAATTTCTTGAGGCACCTAAACTAAGCAGAGTTGGACAGTCGGTGCAACTGAGAAAATATCATGAAACAACTTGGAAAATTTTCTCCAGGATGTCCACCCTCCTCGTGAAATATACACAATTTAACCTTTATAAAACAAATAAGTAAACTTAACATCACAAAACTTATTCACGTTCCTCGAACTATCCTCCACCGACCCCCTTTCTTCACACGTGCTTTTGACTACGCATATAACCTCTCCCAATAAGAGTTTGGCCAGAAATCGATATTTATGTTTGTGAAAATCTCGATTCAAACTTAAAGCTAGTCTTGGATATGTATGCATGTTCAAAGCTTTTCGCACTCAGAATATTAAGCTAACTTCCTCCTTGTAAATCGTATTCTGTGCTGTACAAGACTGTCAGCAAAAGTGTCCTATGAGGGAACGCTCTAACGAGAAATGTGGAAAGGTGATGAGATGACGTCGCCCGGATTTGAACCGCGGACCAGCAGTCCCCTGCGCAGAGGCTCATCCCACCTGGACATTGAACCACGTGAAACTGTTGCTGGATACCTCTGCTCAGCAGCTAGGCATCGTATGGGGTAGCTGCGTGTTACGGTATGGATCACGTGACACATGGCGGCCAAATATTTGCTTCAGTTCGGCTTGCGCATGAATCGACTTCTTTGAAACTCGGCTATATGTGCTTGCATTTCGATCACATAAACCTATGTGTGCCTCTCTCCCTACTACAGGTACCATGGACGATTCACCAGGAGCTCTGGACAGGAAGGAATAGCCCGCTTGCACACGCTCCCCTGAATGGCCCTGACCTGTTTTGCACCTCACTGAACTTGTGCCCTTGGATTTGATTTCATGATGCGCACGTTGTAGCTGCGCTCAGGGGCTCAATGCTGCGTCGCGTGTTATGTTCGAATGTGTGCTCTGTGTTTTGTGACTGCAATGGAATCAACTTCCATATATGCGCCTTTCAGAGCCGATGTGAGTCATCGCCACATCCTCAAGAACGTCGAATACCTCTGACTTCCTGACATCCCATGTGTGAGAATTAACTTTCGTACGTATATCGGATTGACCAGACAAACAAGAAATCCTGAATTCAGCGAGGCGTAGCAACCAGCACGTACGTATTCAAATAAAAGACTGTATGCTATCTCTCATTTGGAAAACAACTGCGGTCCGTTTATGTTAGAAACACTGTAGATGCATTTACGTTAATTCCAATATTAAATCAATCCATGCGGATCCACGAATGGCGTTTGGAACCGTCATGTCCGTCGGACATACCAAACAAGATAGGTTCGTTCACCGAATTTGGGCGTAGTAGCACTTCACCTTGCGTGCATTATAATCATCAGAGACGACTAGATGTGTCGTATGATATCGTTGAGGATATGCATATTTATGAGCGATACCGATCCTCAATTATGCGCTACCTGTCCGGATATAATGCGGCGCTTTCACATATCTCAATGTGAATTACCACCATCCCGGTAGAAAAACCTTTCGCATCAGAGCGCATGCGTTCAGTGAACTATAATAAATCCCAGGGAGCGGCTAGATAGCCAAAAAATGGAGCCACCAGTTGGCGTTCATCATGGCAACGTTTGTATTGTCGCCAGCTAGGCACGCAACCATGGGTTATAAGACTTCAACTACACATGATATCCTGATGCGACTTCCAAAGGCGGTTCCTCGTAATCATAAAATATACATTGTCAATGCTGCTTGTCCGCGCTTGAAAATTGCGAAGCCATGACTTGTAAAACATATTTTCACCCATCTGATGGACTGGCACAACCACAGTTGGTAATCTCCACCTCGTTTTGCGTGCACCACTTTCGCTCGGCGATGCAAGTAAAGTGAAAGATCCACATTCGATTTATTCTCATTTGTATCATCAGCAAGTGTTCAGATGCCTTGCTCCTGTAAACGCTAACATACCACTTACCCAATTGGTCACATGTAGATGATAAAGTAACTGTTTGCCGAAGCGTGTTCTTTGGCCGGGAGACAATGATCATTCGTGTTACTAGGCGTAGCAAAGTTGAAGTTCAAAGGAGGCGTAAACAGAACAGTCGCCAGATTGAATAGCATAAACCCAAACATCAAAAATAAAGGATCTCACACTTCGTCAAAAGTGCCCCCAAGGATTCGGGCGGACGACGATAGAGTGAGCGAGCAGGCAGTTGTTTTCACATGTGTTCATTTGGAGCAATACAACGGACTTCACTTAGCCCCTGCTTCCAAAAGCAGATGTTTGATAGCTGAAGGCAAACAAAAAGTTCTTCGGTCTTTTGACATAGCAGCCATCTCACCAACAGAGAGCTCCATTTTCGAGCATCGTTTACCAGCTTCCATCCTTGCGTTCGTGTAACGGCTCCTGTTATTTTAAGATACGTATCTAGCTGGGGAATGTTTTTACAACTCGGAAACATCCAGCATGTTGAAGGCAGATCGATGCTTTATGCTACACTAAGGCTTTTTGCCACGCCTTTAATGTTGGGTTGGACCTCATCTTACACGTTCTTCATGCCAACGTATTGCCAAACATCTTTGCTTCTACAGTGAGTTCCAAACTGTGCAGCTACATAGAAGAATAAGGCAAAACTGTCCACTACATAGAAGAATAAGGCAGCCACTCCCGATACGATCTTACTTTGATGGTGACGATCTCACTGAAGACTTCCATCATATCACTGGGGAAAGATCCCTTTCAACCCACATCCAAAAAGCCTGCATCGCTACAGTGCAACCACCTTCATACTTCTCTTAGCTATCGGTTAACTCTTATTTCACCATACCTATCACCTCAGCTCGTCTTTTCTGCCCGTTCGCATTTGTGTCAGCTAGTCGAACGTTGTGGAAGCTATCCCCCTCTAACATGTATCCCTATTCATATTATGTCTTCTCTCTCCACAGCAACCAACCCTGAAAATGCAAAAGACTGAACGGTTAAAAGCTATCCTTTTAGCAGTATGCCCGACAGTCAAAGGCCTTCCCCACATTGCCTTGGTTGTATCCAGCATTAGAAAATCCTCCTCCGAAACTGAAGCATCAATTATAGCAAACTAGACGTATTGTTCCATGTAAGCTGACGTGGTGTAACGCTTCTGACGCCATTCGTACAATCAGGTCAAGGCCCTTCCTCTTCTTCTGTAACTGCGCCGTGCAGCGGTCAACCCGTCGTTTGAACACGCAGCACGTCCATGCACCTCAAGTTTTCCTGTTCCTTAATACTTGAAAGCAATAAGTTCTCCAGACGTACAGAGAGAGCTAGTACCACATTCTGCCCGGAATATCAGAAAGCTATCTCTATCCCAAAACGGTATATCATTGTTCACCGTGGTTCCTAACTGGTTACTTGTCTTCCTATTAAGCTCTCTGACCAATTTTCTGGATGAGCATTACCAAATAGCTCCAAAAGCTGTTTGCGGTGAATTTCTAACATTCTTTGAGCCCCAGCACACTCCAATACGTGTTATTCATTCCACCAAAAATGTCTACCAGATAACCGCCCGGTCGGACTTGCCAGCTGCTTAGGCAATTACGATTCAACCGCGGTCTTTTGAACCGTGAACGCACATCAAGCTTTACACTCCAACCTCATGAAGGATCACACTAATTGCTCATCGTTTATCTAATCCATGAACCTTATCTACATTTGGCCCCAACATTCGTCTGGAACTCTTACCACCACCGCCTACTATTTCAAGCCATTCATACGTGACAAACATGCTCGTGCGCATGGACAGCTTAACCCAAGCCAAGGACGAAAAACTCATATCGGATGCCACATTTTTCAAATTTATAGAGACATTTTATCGAGTTCCACACGTCCCACTGCTCCACAAGCTCAAACTTCACGGGATTCAAGGGAAAATCCTTCACTGGATCAAGACGTTCCCATCAGGGAAATCATGCCATGGTAAACTGAACTCGATCTACTCTTCTCCGGCGCTGGCCCCCATCAGAGTTCTCCACTACTGTTTCTGATATACGTCAACGACCTTTCAGATATTCCTGCAAGTCCATGTCTACTTTTCGCGG